CCTGCGGCTATTGAACCGCTCAGTCATGCGTCTGAAGTTCAGAATGCTCACTGTCAAACAGGTCGTGTCTCAGATCAGGTCCGAGGACTGGTTCGTCACGATAGATCTAAAAGATGCTTATTTTCATGTCTCCATCCTTCCCAGTCACAGGAAGTTCCTGAGGTTTGCTTTCAGGGGCAAAGCTTACCAATATCGGGTCCTTCCCTTCGGCCTAGCACTCTCACCCCGTACTTTCACGAAGTGTGTGGACGCTGCCCTGGCTCCTCTGCGGCTCCAGGGCGTCCGCATACTCAATTACATCGACGATTGGTTGATTTTAGCTCAATCAGAGCAGACGGCGGTTCGGCATCGAGATGTTGTTCTCGCTCATATGGGAAAGTTGGAGTTAAGACTAAATGCCAAGAAAAGTGTGCTTTCTCCATTACAGAGGACGGTTACATACGTAACCTGGGACGTTATTGTTATTATTAAAATCAAACACTGGTTCACCCAAGTTTCTCCAGTGTGCAGTTTGTATCTTCTAATCCGGTCTGGAGTTTCTTCACGCCTGAATCCTGCAGATTATTGTTGCTCATGTCAAGTTCTTTCAGACTGGAGTTTGATCTCAGGACTGTAGCAAGAACTGAACAGCTTTCCTCTGTTAGACCACAACCACGCAGCCTAAATTTTAAACAGGAGAGAGAGAATTTACAAACACAAAGTGCTCGATTCCAACATTCTTTGATTACTGAGAACTGTGTTTAGGTCACCTGATTTCTTTAACATAGATTAAATGTGCAATAAAAACTACATTAAAAATACTTACTGTAGCGTGTTGAGTTCACAGTGTTTATCCTGCAGTAGAGCAGTGATCTGATTCACTCGTGTGTCTCCTAGTTCATGTAAACTCAGATTCAGCTCTCTCAGGAGTAACGGGTTTTTACCCACAATTCCTGTCACATACTGACAGGCTTCTTCTGCATCAGGACTCAAAAACCTGCAGAAGAGATGAAGTAGGATATAATTTAATTCCCAAATAAACTTGATGGAAAAATAAAACATCCAAATATGATGCACAGAAGTGTGAAATAGTTTTTCTTGAATTTACTTTAATGCAGCAGGTTTGTATTAGTGAAATAATATTTCTATAAATAATTCACCTGCATTTAATTTATTTTGTATTATTTTATCACGTCTCACCTCAGTGTCTTCAGTTGACAGTCTGGATCCTGTAGTAGATCACTGAGCTGCTTCACTCCTGATTGTCCAGGATCATTTCCTGTGAGATCCAGCTCTATCAGGTGTGAAGGGTTTGATCTCAGAGCTGAAGCCAGAGCTTTATAACCTTCTTCAGTGATACCACAGTCAGAGAGTCTAGAACAGGAAAGAAAATGTAAAATTCAACTAATTAATCAGCTGTTCTATAATTTACCTTAACTCTTTTAACACCGCCAGCGTTTTTGATCATTTTCACTAGAATTCCATTGTACCCAGAAATTTTGTTGTAAGAATATCTGAACAAGCAATACATCAAAATAAAGAACAGAGCCTCTTATTTTAAACAAAATTTTCTTTTTTTTATCAACACTTGAATGTAGGTAAGTTTTGTAAAAAAAGCATCATTTTGTGATGATAAAGCATAGATTGAGCAGATTGCGTCCATCAGCACTCCGAAAGCTTTCACAGTCCTTTACCACTTCCTGGATTGACATTTTACTCTATAACATTAGGTAGTTTTGCTTTATATGCTGTTAACTGTTGATGATTGCATTATTTTTCATATGCATCTGCTTACACATGAGATCGCCCGTTTCTGCATCTTCCTCGTCTGTGCTTTTGATCAGGAGATTCTGGTCTCATTCAAGAGATGTGTAATAGTGCCACCGAGCATATAACAGTGAAAACACGGAAAGCCGTAAAATCTCATATTTGGCGTGAAGCGTTTTCTCATGAAAGATGAGATAACTTGTCAGTGGTGGGGAAAGAGTTAACAATATTAATCTCCAAAGACATCTCCTACAATGAATTCTACCATGAAAAGTGAAAACTGATAGCCAAATATATATAACTTGAGTTGGGTATAACTTACTGTAATCTAATTACTTACCTGGTTACCTGGTAACGCAGTTAGTTAAAGTAATGCATTACATTTAACATTTATGTAATTTGGTTACTTATGTCAATAAAATTACGTTACTTAAGTTACAAATGTAGTGTTAAAAATTATGAAGTAAAAATCATGTTTTGCGCTTTAGGCGTTCTCACTACTGGTTGTAGACACACCCGGAGCAATGGGCAGACATATTGCTGCAGCGCCCTGGTTCGGTGCCTTGCTCAAGGGTCTCACCTCAGTCGTGGTATTGAATGTGGAGAGAGCTCTGGTTTTTCACTCCCCCCACCGACAATTGGACCTCAGGCTGGACCTGAGACTCGAGCCCACGACCTTCGGGTTACAAGTCCGACTCTCTATCCAATAGGCCACAACTGCCCCCCCCCCTACACTCCCAATATGAAGGCTTGAAATATTCCACTCTATGTGTAACATATCTATATAATATATGGGTTTCACTTTCTGAAATGAGTGACAAAAAATATTGACCTTTTTCATGATATTCTAATTTTTTGAGATGTACCTGTAAATATAAAAAACAAAAGCAAAATAGAAATGTTAACTTGGAAGAATGTCTATATAAAAAGGGTCTATATCTATAAGGTCTTCTACATCCAATTACATATTGGATATATATATGTGATTTAGACGGTAGTAATGATAAAAGTTACCTAGTTGCTTTTAGTGTATATTAGGAAATTTGCTTTTCAACACCTTGATAATGAAAGTTAGACATTATTAGTAAAACAAAAGGAGATTTCAATTAATCATTTTGCATAATGCCCATATTTCTTTTAACAAGGGAGATAAGTAAACTGTGAAATTCATAATTTGTCTATTAATGTACATTTTGAAAAGAATATATAAAACAAAATAATAATCTTTAGGTTTGGTTGAGATCAGTTTATTGTTGGTTATCACACAACTTACCTCAGTATCTCCAGTTCACACTTTACGTTCTCCAGTCCAGTGCAGAGCAGCTTCACTCCTGAATCCTGCAGATTATTATTGTTCATGTTCAGTTCTTTCAGACTGGAGTCTAAACCAAGAACTGTAGCCAGAGCTGAACAGCTTATGTCTGTTAAGTCACACTCATTCAGGCTACAAGGAAAACAAGTCACATTAGATTGAATACATACAGTAAAATGCATGAGCTAAATACAAATATTAAATGTATTATCCATCTATTACTCTTACATGATCATTAAAAATATTGTAAGATTGGTGGGCTAGACTGACATTGCAACTACAAAATCATTAGTATTTTTGATTAAGTGACAAATTTGCTATATAAACCAAACAAGAATACCATTTTAAGGTTTATAGCTTTATTGACAATGAGTTTTATATTTGAAAGCACTCCATTGTCTTTTGAGGTGGAGAATATGGAGATTAATTATTAGAACAATGAGAAGTTTGAATTATCATTCAAACAAAAGAAGACTTAAATTAGGAAGTTGCAGTTAACAATAACGTCATATTGGAGTGAAAATAACAATGGAACGATGTGTTTATCATAAATGTTATGTTCTTCTGCTGCTAACAAAAAAACAGCTAAATAACCAAATTGTATTAAATGACTTACAGAGCTATTTTGGAGTTTTTGATGACTGCTGATAATCTAATGAGACACTCGTCTGATTTCTTGAATTTCTGAAGCTCAAACTCCTCCAGCTCCTCCTTTGATGTCAACAACACAAAAGCCATTGCAGACCACTGGGCAGGAGAAAGCTCAGCAGATGAGAGACTT